ATGAGAATCCTATATCACAATTGTGTTAATTATGCAATTTTCCCTTTTAGTGAATTATTTGTCACAAGTATAAGATAGAACCAATAGTATTTAAAGTGATAAATGCATGCATCAAACAAATCAAGCTTAACAACTAGCTTGATCGTCAAGAGGCTAGGCTCTAAAGGCTTATTGTCATATATACCCAACTTATTGATATTATTTACTCGACAGTATTAACAGTGTGAGGCGAGAATGGATCAATATTCAAATTACGGAGGTCAACAGGAATCTTCTACGGGCTACAATTACCCGCCATGTAGGTTTATTAATTAGAAGAATGCCTGTATACTTTTCGGAAATTGATTTAAATTGGGTCAAAGAAATAATTGAAAGCACCCAATTACTTATTAACAATTCCGGTCAAATGCAAAAGTTGGCACAAGCTTAAATTGTGATGTGTGTGCCAACGATCCTAATAACTTCAAAAAGTATACAGCGATCTCTATCATCATGATAGATGTAAAAGCATTTGAACTTTTTTTTATCGTTACTATATATCACATAATGCCAACTGCTCTTCAATCAAAAAAAAAAAAAAAACGTATATATACATATATATACACATTTATATAGATAACGAAGCCTATAGTCAAAGTGGATATACTGCACCAACAAATACATCAGAATATTATTATGGGAATAGTAATACTCCAGCTGGAGGTAACGGAAACGGTAGCAGTGGTACAAATCCTCAACCAACGGCACCTCCGTCGGCATCATCGCAGGGATATACTTCTCGCGATGGTTATGAAGTGAGTGGATACTCCTCTGGTTATGAGTACGGAAATTATCCTACACCTGCAACTTCAGGGAACTTTCAAGCAGGTCCAGGCTCATCAGGTGGTTCTACAACTCAACAATACAATTCAAGTGGTGGTTATAACAGTGGAACAAATAAAACGGGCTATTCAGATCGAGATAACGATTATGGTGAAGGTCCCGGTTATGGCGGCAATAAAAATCCTTATGGTGATAACTATGGTGGTAACTACAAATCTCGTGAAAATAACCGAGAAGGTGGTTATGGTCCATCATCCAAAGATGGCGCTTCATACGATAATTTCGGAAACCATCCTGAAGGTACATATAAGAACTAATTATAATTTTGTTTTATAGTTTACTTTTAAACATAATTCATTTATTCAAAATTTTTCCAATATTTTCGTAGACGGTTCAGTAGTTCAAAAAAGTACCGATACCGTTTATATTTCAAATTTAAGCAAGGAGGTTACTGAAGAGAAATTGGCCGATTATTTCGGTGGTCTTGGAATGCTAAAAATTGATAAGAAGACACAAAAGCCAAA